CACATCACCCACTATTATAACCACTTGAAGACCAAAGATAAAGTACAAATGAGACACTTTAGCGCTCAACTGGTAGGGGTCCCCATCTTTAAATGTGCAGATGAGCCAAGGAGAAGCAACCTAAACTTGACATGTGCAGCCCTCCCCGGATAGGGGAATTCCAGCACTACAACAAAAAGAACAGAAAGGGCGCAAAACATACAGTACACGGGCACGAAGTACATTTGTCTCCTGTCCAATCGGACTGATGGATGAGGTAGCTAGCTGATGCATTTTGGGGGACTCTGGCCAAAAGACAAAGCCTTTTCTGACACTTTTTGTTTACATGAAAAAAAAAAAAGTTTTTTGCTAGAAAATTACTTTGAACCCCCAAACATGATATATTTTTTCAAAGCAGAGGCCGTCGAGGATAAAACGGTGGGTGTTGTAATTTTTTAACATCACACAGTATTTGCACAGTAATTTTCAAACACAAATGTTTTGGAAAAATACACTTTTTTGATTTTATTGCACAAAAACACAATATATTGCCAAATTATTTGATAAACTATAAAAGATGCTATTATGTTGAGTAAATAGATATCAAACATGACATGCTTTAAAATTGCACATTCCCATGCAACAACAGCAAACTACATAAATTTTTAATATCCATAGGCAATGCTTTTAAAAGCTTTTACAGGTTAGCAGTGATCACAAGATTACCACAATCTGCATTCCGCCCCCCTGTGTTATCACAGCCGGAGTGACGTACAAGTATGTGGCTCTGCCTGTAGCTGTTACTCATTCACAGTACAATACTGCGGGCAGGCAGCAAGTTAAACAACTACCTGTTTTGACAGCACTCCAGGGATCTTTAGGCTGATAATCACTTGAAGACCAAGCATTTTTGGACTCTTTGTTTACATGTAAAAATAATTGATTTTTTTTGCTAGAAAGTTACTTAGAACCCCCAAACATATTTTTTTTTAAGCAGAGGCCCTAAAGAATAAACTGATGGGTGTTGCAATTTTTTTATGTTGCACAGTATTTCCGCAGCGGTTTTTCAAACACTTAAAATTCAAAAAAGTGTTTTGTTTTTTTTTAATGCACAAAAACACAATATAATACCCAAGTAAAATTAATACATTTTAAAAGATGATGTTACACTGAGTAAATAGATACCACACATGTTACGCTTTAAAATGACGCATGCCCACGCAATGGCAACAATCGATGTAAATTGCAATATCCATAGGCGACACCTTAAAAGCCTTTTGCAGGTTATCACTTTAGATTTACACAGCAGGTCTGGTGTTAGAATTACTGCCCTTGATCCGAAGTTTGCAGTGACACCTCACTTGTGTGGGTTGATCGCTGCTTGCGTGTGGGCACGAGGGTGCTTTACATTTTATTTTCTCAGTTTATATTCTTTTTTTACACAGTCGCTTTACATTTTTTTTTGGATCACTTTTATTGTTATCACAGGGAATATAAATATCCCCCGTGATAGCAATTGGCAGTGACAGGTACTGCTTTATGAAGAGATCTAGGGTCTATTAGACCCCAGATCTATCATATACTATTAAAAGCATCTGATCACACCAAGATCAGTGTAATCAGTTGCTTTACCATTTTAAAAATGCGGTTTACTCTCTAGAAAACTGGAAATGATGAATGGTCATTGCTTCCAGTTTCCTTTTTCATAGGGGCGATCAGAGCAGATCCGACCTCTGTTTGCCTCTATGATCTTCAGGCGGAAGCACTGGCTGATTGCCTGGGACTCCCGATGCAGAAGGCGGCAGGACATCCCCTCCCACCGCTAGTAAAAGCGATCCAGCAGCTAATTAGCAGCTCAGATTGCTTTTCCAAGAAAGCAAACAGTCGGCTCTAAAAAAATTATACAAGGATGGTGCCTGCAGCTGCAAGCATCATCCCAGTAGAACTACTGAAAGTCCAGCGATGTAATGGGGGACAGGGACATTTTAACTTTTTTTTTTTAAACATATTTTTATTTTTTTTTCATTGCTGTAACAAAAAATGTAAACATCTCTTGTTCCATCAATAGGCATGTGACAGGTACTCTTTATGAAGGGATCTGGGGTCAATGAGACCCCAAATCCCTCCTCTGCCTTAAATGCATTCATTTACACCAAGATTGATGTGATTAAATGAATGCTTTTATTTTTTAAATATGGTGTCGTATATTTCTGAGTAAACTGGTAGTGATGTCAGGTCATCACTTCAGGTTTACTATTTGACTGAACCAAACTGGTGACAAGCTGGCGGCAGTGCTAGCTGGTTTAACCCCTGCTGGGATAGGAGCTCCTGTTAAAGCCCCGGTGGGAGGGGGCTGTGTGTCCCCTCCCATTGTTTGTAATAGCAGTCGAGCAGCTACTTAGCTATGATTGTTATTACAAGAAAGCTAACTGTCGGCTCTCAATAACAGTACCATCCCGGTATAATGGCTTAAATTCAAGTGACGTATGGGTACGTCGCTGAAGCGGGTAGAATGTTTTCTTTTTACATTACACATATCTTCTCTACTCCTAAAATCCCAAACAACTGGGCTTATGTTTTTGTGAGGAAAGTGGTGACCCTCAGGGTGGAGCAGATTGCAAGATGGAGCAGTCCTTTGAGACAGAACAACTCTACCAGGGAGACAATGCTGGGATTTGCAGTGATATGGAGAGAGAGGAGATCACTACTGCCCATTGACTGCAAGGCTGGGAGACAGATTGTTACAGAATGCAGTCTGTGGGAGTCCAGCATTGGCAATTACCATCTGACTGGTGTGGTTTGTACTGTTTATCAGCCTAAAGATCACTGGAGTGCTGACACAACAGGTAGCTGACAGATATACATGACTAGCTGTGCTGTTGGACAAGGGCTGTTCAATTGGGTTTGGATTTCACTGAGCAGAGGGGATTGACAGAGGTGTTTGTCCCCGTGAAAAGAATGTGCAGCTGAGAAATGCCTATGATAAAAGTAGATCTACCTGAGTGTGATCTCATTAATCATTTCGGCAGATTGCAAATACCAACATTGTCCACAAGCCCTGTCTCATTTATTTATATATGATTATTTAAAAATTCTGGACATTTATGAGATAAGTTGTGTCCAGGGGTGGACTGACAACTCATGGGGCCCCCAGGCAATAGGGGATCATGGGGGCCCATGTATCCTTGCCCAAACTCAAAAAAACCTATGAAAAAGGTACCAGGGGCATCTCATGGGGCCCCCTACTGACCCCGGGCCCTCGGGCAGTGGCCGGGTTTCCAAATGGTCAGACCACCCCTGGTTGTGTCCCCATGTTTTCGGGGTTTTTAAGTGCAGGGGTTATTCAACTCGGTGGATTTAGGTATTACTTGGTAAAATATTCACAGAAGTCATGTGAACTGGTTGGCTGCAAGGAGATCCAGCACGTGGAAACATTTGGGTTGATTTACTGAAGCTGGAGAGTGCCAATCTGGGGCATAGAAACCAATCAGTTTCCAGGTTTTTTTTTTGGCAAAGCTTGATTGAACAAGTTAGAAGCTGATTGGCTGCCATGCACAGCTGCACCAGACTTTGCATTCTCCAGTTGTAGTAAATCAACCCCATTGCTTACATTCTAGCTGTCCTGGTTTGTTATCACACAAAAATCTAATATGTAATGTCCTGGATGGTTGTTGTGCTGACCCCCTGGCTTAAATACTTTGTGTGACTTTGCTGAAAGAATTAGCCATATCGGGAAAGTCAAAAGTCCTTACCTGCAAACTTGTTACAGGTCAGTGGTTCACAAATTAAAACAAGAGAGTCAAAGTGATAGTCAAGCTACTAGCAATTTCAGAAGGAGAGGTTAGCAATAGCATTTGTCATGTTTTGTGCTTGATAGGTTTTATTTTAATGTAGGCAAAACTAGACAGAAAATGTAGTACATACCACTTTTAAGAATAACGTGTTACTAAGCCCAGGACCCTGCATTCACTGTATCTGGTCTCCCACAGTACAGAGAACATGGAAATGCAATTTTTAGTAAATATAAACTACTAAATACCTTTTCTCATCAGCATTTAGAGCAGTCGTGTGACTTCATCAGTGTCCAGCAGAGCACTGGTTAAAGCTTTTAGGAGGAGTTCTCATTCTGCTCTAGGAGGATGCAGAACCCCTGACCTCTGTCTGGACAGTGCTGATTGGGCTTGTGCTGATCACATGCACTCTCCCAAGAAAATAAAAAAAAATATCTCTAGCAATACACACCAAACTGAGAATGTGCAGAGTGACTCCACACAATATGTCTTATTAGGAGATAAGGAGGGCACTGGAAGAAGGTGAGGATCAGAAAAGTCAGGATCAAACCACATTTTTACACAATGCAGAGGATTAATCCCTTAGGTTCCACAGTGAGTATAACAAGCATGCTTTACTGCATATACAGACTGATTTTACTGTTGTGGGTTTTGTAACACTTTAAGAATGAAACACCTTTTATTTGGTCCGTTTTGGTCTGTTACAGTATTGAAAGCAATTTGCTGTATCTTTTCAATAACTGCAACAAAGCAACTAGTGATCATTACAGAAAGCTTGCCAGCTGATAACTTTCTGTGCTTTTTGGCCGTGTTGCAGTCTTATTCATTACATTGTCCCCTTTTCTACCTGAGCTATTATGGAGAAGAGGAGAGGGGAAGATTGCTGTAGTCCTGTCGAAGGGTGACAACACTGCTAATCCATCGTTACAATATACTGAGTGAGCGTAGTCATCCTCTGACATTAAGGTTGTTGCTGACAAATCACCAGGTCAAGAAAAAGAGGGGGAAAAAAAACACCTACAGCCACCACATGTAGGTACTGAGAAGCTGCAAAATAATACAACTGGGTTTAAATACTTTAAAAGAATTAAGGGTTTCAGAAAATTGGAGTAACAACAGCACCCACATAATGGGGGGCATCATTATGGGGAATGCAGGGTGTCTTTTAGTAACTAGAACACTACATCTATTTCTATTCATAATGCATGCATTGCAACAGTGTATACATACCACTTCTTCATCTTCCACCAGAACCATGTCGTAAGCGCTTAGTGCACCACAAAATATAATGCAGGTGACTCCTTCAAAGCAGTGAATCCACTTTTTACGCTCTGACCTCTGTCCTCCCACATCAAACATCCTGAAAAAGTAAACGGCTTCATGATTTTGATCAGTGCAGTACAACTCAATGATTTAAAAGTAGAATTCCAGCTTTCAGCTCACATTAAAATAGTTCATTTTGGCCAAACTAGCCCAAATAAATTTTCATCATTATATATTGATGCGGCTGCTGTGTGCACTGCCATGTACTGTAGTAGCATTAGCTACATACAGAAAGCAGTACTGTGTTCGGACAGCAGCATGGACAACTTCTGTCTACTGCCAGAATTAAATCATCAGCCTGAGTGATTATCTGCCATTCAGGAGAAATCTTGTATTTTTATCAATGAATACGGCTTCATAATAAGGCTTCATATGATTTGCTGAAGTGGAGAGGTGTGCAAATGACATTTTGATTTCCATATATGTCAATCAGAGTAATATTCATTGAAATACAAGGTGTCTCCTGAATAGTGGAGAAATGTTCAGCAGATTCTATTTTGTTCTGGCATAGCCCGGAAGTCAAACATACTGCTGCCGAAACACAGTGCTCCTTACTCTTTGTAGCTATTGCAACTACAGTCTATTACAGCAGCCCTAGTGTCCAGACTCTTCTGGAATGGAAATAATGAATGTAGACCAGCTTGGCTCAAGCAAATTAAGTGATTTATAAACCGGTAAGGCCATGAGTTTACTGATGTTTAGGCTACGTTCACATAGGCATAACAATGTTACTGATCTTATTACGTGTCAGTACTTAAAATTGTCCTGTCCCCCCCCCCAATACCTGCATCTGGCATATATTTATACATGTGTCCTCAGATGCAGATTTTTGAATTTTGCATTACAGATCTAATTGTAGTGCATGTTTACGCAACTGTGTGCTTGTCTCCATTGAAAACAATGCAGCTGCAATCAGATCCATATAAAAAAATGCTTGTAAATACATGTGAATGAAGTCGTGACAGAAAGCTCTTGACATAAATATTGTGAGTAAAATGTTCCATAAAGGGCTTGTTTGCATATACACATGTAAAACTCCTCCTTGTTGCCAGTAATGCAATATGCAGTATATGCGTAAACGACTGTACTCGTATGTCAAGTTTTCTATTTTTGTTTTTGGCTCTGTACTTTTCACTATATTACTGATCTTTGAGCTGTGCTCATTATTCTGTAGACATAAAAGCATCTACACTCTATTGCCAAAAGCATTGGATTCAGGTGTTCCATGGCCACAGGTGTATAAAAATCAAGCACCTAGGCATGCAGACTGCTTCTACACACATTTGTGAAAGAATGGGTCACTCTCAGAAGCTCAGTGAATTCAAGAGTGGTACCGAGATAGGTTGCCACCACTGCAATAAGTCCATCCGTCAAATTTATACAAAATATTCCACGGTCAACTGATAGTGGTATTATAACAATGTGGAAGCAACTGGGGACAACAGCAACTCAGCCAAGAAGTGGTAGGCCACGTAAAATGACAGAGCATGTTGAAGCGCACAGTGCGCAGAAGTCGCCAACTTTCTGCAGTCAGTAACTAAAGACCTCCAAACTTCCTGTGCCCTTTAGATTAGCACAACAGTGCATAGAGAGCTTCATGTAATGGGTTTCCATGGCTGAGCAGCTGCACCCAAGCCTTACATTACCAAGTGCAACACAAAGTGTCGGATGCAGTGGTGTAAAGCACGCTGTCACTAGACTCTAGAGCAGTGGAGATGTGTTCTCTGAAGTGATGAATCATGATTCTCTGGCAATCCGATGGACGTGTCTGGGTTTGGCGGTACTTGCCTGACTGCATTGTGCCAAGTGTCATCTTCTGATGAGAAGGGTTGAAGAAAATCACCATGCAAGTTCACTGCAGTTAGCTAAAGAAGTAGAAAGCCAAACTGGGGTGATTTTTTTTTTTTAGCGTGACACAATTCAGCGTACACTGCAGAGGAATGGCATGCATGGGTGTCGTTCATGAAGGAAGCCTCTCCTAAAGCCCATGCACAAAAAAGCCTGCTTAGAATTTGCCAGGGCCCATAATGAAAAAGAAGACTACTGGGACTCTACTCTAGAGTGATGAGACCAAGATAAATGTTTTTGGAACGGATGGCTTAAAAACTGCATGGCGTCACCAAGGTTAAGCAGTACAAAAAATAAAGGCATAATGCCTATAGTGAAACATGGTGGTGGCAGTGTCCTTCTCTGGAGCTGCATGAGCTCTGCTGGTGTTGGAGAGTTGCATTTCATTGCTGGCATCATGAATTCACAGATGTACTGCTCTATATTGAAAGAAAAGATGCTACCATTACTCCGTGCCCTTTTCCAACATGGCCATTATCCAAAACACACATGTAATGCCACTGTTTTTGAAGAACAGGATGTAAGTGATTCAGTGGCCAAGTATCTCTCTTGATCTGAACCGAATCAAACACCTATAGGGAATTCTGAAGAGACAAGTTGAGCATCACTGCCCATCCAGCATCCATGCTCTAAAAGAGGTCGTCCTTGATGAATGGAAAAAGATAGATGTTGCAATATGTCACCAACTTGTTAATTCTATGCCTAGAAGACTTGGTGTTGTCCTTACAAATCATGGAGGTCATACAAAATATTAGATGTAGTAGTTTTTGTTGTGGGGTGTATTCTCCTTTACATCAACTAATTTGAGTAAAACCGAAGATTTTGTAATCTAAGTTATATTATTAACCTTACTTTCATAAGCTAAACAAATGTTCTATAAAACTCAGTTTTGTCAAAATTTTGGAAATTGTTCTTCTGTTCATTAAGATATTAATTAAAACTATTATAACTATCATGGAAATATTTAGAAATATATGATTGTAAAATTATAACACAAAGCCGCAAGGCATCTATGAAAGAGTTTATCTGGACACAAGATACATAGTTGCATAGTCTGGCTGAAAATAAAAAGACAAAAGTCCATCCAGTTCAACCATTCAAAAAAAAAAAAAAAAAAAAAAAAAAATATATATATATATATATATATATAAAATAAATTATAATCCTATACCCACAGTTGATCCAGAGGAAGCTAAAAAAAAAACCCCACCAAAGCATAATCCAATTTGCTCTTGCAGGAGAAAAAATGTGTTCCTGGATGTTAGTATCCAGTTATATTCTGTATATCTAGGAAAGAATACAGGCCTTTTTTAAAGCAATTCACTGAGCTGGTCAGAACCAACTCTTAAGGGAGTCTATTCCACATTTTCACAGCTCTTACTGTGAAGAAATCTTTCCGTATATGTAGATTAAATTTATTTTCCTCTAATGATGGCCTCAGGGTGAATAACTCTACACCAAGTTCACTATATGAACATGTATTTATACATGTTGATCATATCTCTCCTTAATCTCCTCTTCTCAAGAGAGAATAAATTCAGTTCCTGTAATCTTTCCTCATAGCTGAGCTCCTCCATGTCTCTTAACAGTTTGGTTGCTCTTCTCTGCACTTTCTCCAGTTCCCCAATGTCCAGTTCCGAATTGTAAGAAAGGACTACTGAATACTTTCACTGGCTGTTATGTATAATCCTATTATCTTTAGTGTGTTCAAATTTATATTATTGCATAAATAGTTTATGTATGATGCCATATCTATAACCAATCAGTAGTCTGGAGAAAAAGAAATTTAATCTCCAAACACTGAAAGGTTTCTTCACAGTGAGAGTTGATTCTGGCCAGCTCAGTGGATTGCTTCAAAAAAAGGCCTGGATTCTTTCCTAGATACACAGAATATAACTGGATACTAACATTTATAGGTAAAGTTGATCCAGGGAATATCCAATTGCCTGTTGGGGGATCAGGAAGGAATTTTTTTCCCAGCAGGAGCAAATTGGATCATGCTTTGTGGGTTTTTTTGCCACACAACTGCAGCCTGTCCAGACGCCATTTTGTGAGAGCTCGACCATCAATCTGCAGCCATCTTTTGCTTTACCTGAGAATTGGAGGGTAACTATAACCTCTATTTTAGTCATTCTGATTGACTAAATTAATACGTTTTTGCCATTTTGTGGTAATTTAATTGTTTCCCTATGATAAAATAACCACCTACCTTTATATAGTTTAGTTTTAGTATTAAAAATTATTCTTATCTTGTTCTTGGGCCATATTGGCATACGGTTTTGCGTATTTTGACGCTTATTCCTTCTGCAGGGGAATAACCGCTGAAATTCTGTAAAACACAGACTATTGTCTGATATTTAGATATGAATGGTTATTTTGTCTGAGGAAAAATTAATTATTGAATTTTATTCATTTTATTTATATTCATATTATATATATATATATATATATATATATATATATATATATATATTACACATACACACACATGTAAACTATTCCTGCAGAAAAAGTTTGTAACGTTTATGCAAATTATCTGGGTGTCTATGTGCATCACAGTTGAACTATTACATATGTGTTTGTAGGTGACTTATTGTAAATTAATAATAATTTATTTCATAACCCGTAGTCCATATTTTCCACTGATCTAATCTGTGATCTAATCTGTGTTTTTAAAGGATTTTGGTTGGCACTAAATTATTCAGAGTGATTAATTAAGTCAGTTAAATTATTTTATAAATTAAATAAATGTTAAATTTGCAAGGACCTTTAGCTGACTGAATTAATTGTCCAGGTGTTACCTATTATTTTTGGAGGCACAGCTGAATGAATTATTGTTAATTCATCAAAAGAACAACATATTCTTATTGGAGGCACTGCTGAGAGCCATCATAAATTCTTGCACAGATCATAGTTTGATTGTGGTGTCATAGATACTGGTATTTAGCATAAAACTATTGCTTATTAATTGTTGGAGAAAAAAACCAAAATGTCTGTTAAAAGCGAAGCATTTTCCATTAGCCCTTGCCCCGGGACTGAGTCATTCCAGAGACGTAATACAACAGCCCCATTAGAATCCTCAAGAATCCAAGAAATGTTGAGACGTATTTCTAAATATGAAATATTTGAACATGTCAGAAATAGACTGTGTATTGAGACTAGTTGGAATGTATACATCAAAAATCTTAA